CCCCCCCCCCCCCAACTTAACACCATGCCTTGTTCTCATTCTAACACAAAGGTATTTACAACTGTGGAAAATGAACCATTAGGGGACATCACGCGATCGGATGTTAAGGACATGGCCGCGAATAACAACATTAAAAAAATTTTTCACCGTGGTGGTACCGAGAAGGAAAGTGGCACGACTCACAACGAGGTTTTATACATTTCCATCCTATATATTATTAAAATGGCGACAGGGCACTAGGCAATTCTATCCTACGAAATTCATCAAGTGAGTACCAAAACAAGGACCAACACAGTTTTATTGCACGTACAAACACAGACTGGAACTCTTTATCAAATGGCGTCATTGAAAAGCAGTCTGTGGAAGCAGTCTGTGAAAATGGCCGTCAAGTACCACCTTTAAAAACGCTGACACCGGACTTTGTAATCATTATTTTTATTATTATTTTCTGAACACTCGCACTTTGATCATCTTAACATTTTCACCTACACATCTGCCGTGATAGGATACCCCCTCGCAGATATATATTAACACCACTAGAATTAGCAGAGGCAACATACGGAAGCGTGCGTACCTAAAAAAGTCGATACACGGTCGAGGGTAAAAAATAAAATATAGTAAATATAATAAAAAAGTGAGTAATAGCAAAATCAAATGATAATTATTTAAAAGCAAAGTTTCCCTTTTTTTCATTTAAATCTGCTTGTTGCTTAGCGGTTGAAAATATTTTTCTAAAACAAAGGAATGCTTCATTTTTGGACCGACTCAAGAATGGTATATGTAGAGAAAAGGCGGGAAAATACCTCGCAGATAGCAAGCTCGGCCTGTCTTCGCAGTGGTTGAAGTATAGGACACCATTACGTCAACGTATTGCGCAAAAACAAAGTGGCAGAAAGTGGTAAGAAAATCAGTCATTTGCAAACAAAAATCGGAGATACCGACTTAAGAACTTTAAGTCAATGAACCAAATAAGGCGACAAAGAATTTTACATAGGCTTACAACGTAACCTAATCTTTAATCAAGGAATTAAAAATATTTGGGCTTTTGTGGTGGTGGTGATGGTGGTGGGAGGGGATGGAGGAGAAAGCAGAAAAATGTGCGCACCTCTGGAAAACTCCTGGCTACGCCCCTGATTAGAACGCAAATGATCGATTGATTCGTTATTCCGGTTGGGATCCAGTCACGTTGTATTCCTTATCAGTCTTATTCATGAAGTAAAAGATAACATATCTCTTTATAAAACGAAAAAAAGTTTTCCTCTTGAACAATTTCTTTCAGGAAAATCAGGCGTCTTAGGTTAGAAAAATCAAGAGATTTTGTGAAGTCATAAGGGACGAAGTTGAGCCAGGGGCCCTTAGGTGGCTGAATACCCTCGGTAAAAGAACCCAGCACTGAAAACCCTGGGATAAATAAGACTAAGGAAAAGCGCGGAAAAGAAAGGTCATAGAGATCTATTCGAAATAGACCGCTTCTTAGTTACCAGCAAAAGTCAGATGAAGTAATAAAACTGATATACATTGACGTGTAACTAGTGTAGCTGGTGGTCTCTTCTCTCGCGTAAATGAGCGGTGAAGCCGCGAGCAAAGGGCGGGCAAACGAGCGGCAAAAGAAGTTTCCGCCGCATTCTCTTCCTGGCTTCACCCGCTCATTTACCCACTCGAAAAACAAAAGTGTCAGCAACGCAGGCTAAACCTGAACTGGAAAGACCGATCTGTTTGCTCCTTTCGCTCTGGAATTACAAACTTTTTTAGTTCAGATGCTATGAAAAGTTGTAACTCCGGGCGAGAGAGGTGAAGTAGTAACAGCTGCCCTAACAGTGTTGATAGACGTGGGACGGACAAACCGTGAACGTTTGGGTTAATTGAGGATACAGGCTCTGCGAAAAATTTGAACTATGCAAACTGCGTTGTACTTTCCTAAAAATTGAATACGCGGTGACCATGCAATCAGCTAACTGAATAAACAACCGAGCCAGGAATTTCTGTTAATATTTATTGCGAGTGCCTTATTTTCGGTTAACAACCTCCTACAGGGGCGGATCCAGGATTTTTTTTAGGAGGGGGTGCACTCGTCTCTTGCTCTACTTCAACACCAATAAACCACATAGTTTTTTTTTGCAGAATACCGCTAGTTGTATTAGAAAACCGCAGGTCATCTCAGGGGGGGGGTGCGCACCCCCTGCACCCTCCCCCTAGATCCGCCCCTGTCCTAGTAGAACATCCTTTAGTCTTCTTCTTTATCGTCAAAATCAAGCAAATAAGAAAGACTCTGCTGGCAGGTTAATTGTTTTATAGAATCCTGCCAGGGAATGGGCTGAATTGTTTAAAAAGAGAACCTACTCCTTCACGCTAGTACTTTTTTAAACATAAAGAATTGTAATTTCTGAACTTTTTTCCTTTATTGATAAAAAAAGTGATAAAAAACGAGTTCACACTTAAAGTACAATTGAGGGTAAAATGCTACCCAGTAATCTAGAGTATAAAATTCTAATTACACATCGTCGCAACACGTACAATACGAGTTCGGAAAGGATCTATTAAAACCGGCGTATCAGAACACAGTGAAAAAACTTAATGAAATCACTGAAAGGTTACGTTGGCCGTTACATAGTTCTTAGTCTACGTCAAACCGTACAATTGAATTTTGGCTAAATAATTCGGTTATATAATGATGGAATTCCATACTGTGCAGGGGCGGATCTAGGGGGAGGGTGCAGAGGGTGCGCACCCCCCAAGTAGAGCAAGAGACCAGTGCACCCCCTCCTAAAAAAAATCCTGGATCCGCCCCTGCTGTGGAGGAATCAAGACATGAGACTTTACAGCCATATGTCAGAGGAACAGTCTCCTCCCGGATATCGCACTTCATGTGCAAAGGTGGGTCCATCGGGTTCCTCTCCAAAATCAACGCAGAAATCAGGATTCAACTTGAGACCACCATTGACTGTATCAGCGTCCACTTGAAGCAACATGCTACCTTTCCTGTGAAGAAAAGCGTAAGAGAAAAAATGCTACAGTCAATCATCTCCACATCTGTTAACTTGGAGAGGGAACTAAGCGGCCGTTCTGGAATGGTGGCGGCGTTGAATGAATGGTTTATGAGGAAGTAGAAGCTTCTAGAATGGCAGGATATTTTTAAGAAAATACGAAAATACTCAAGGAGTTGGCAACAGGCCAGTCATCATAGGTTCAATTAGTTAGCACAAAGCCGCCCCACATGACATTTGGTTAAACTTTTTAGTTATATATTTCTTTGCCGACTTGGACAGAAATCGCCTGTTATAATTTATGGAGGACGTGAACAAACGAAAATGAATTTTTCTCTCTTTCTGAACTTCAATAGTCAGGAATTCAGCTCCAAGAGAGTTCGACTACATTTGACACGGTAAGCAAGTTGGGAAAATCGCGATGAATTTTGAAATTAAGGCAATGAAAGAACGCTGCGTTTTCACTCCTTTTAAGTTGTCGTCGTGTGATTACGTCCGCAGTCCATAAAACCAGACTTCCGAGGAAGGAAATAATTAAGCAATTTTTTATCTTTTCTTATCAATGAAAATGCTGACTGCCGTACTTGGGGAGGCTGGGATAAAACTGGTTGTCCCATACACTGTAAAGCGATGTTGTAAAGTATAATCGCTTTCCGTCCAGACTGAGCTGCAACATCTGTGGCCCACCCTCTACTCTCTTTCCCTTCACATAGCACGTGTCAGGCTGTTTACTTAATTCACTATCCTCTATCACTTTCACTGAGCCATCTTTGGTTATACTACCACCAATGAAGACCTAAGACAGAAAAAGATCACATGTTAATGATTATAATGATCATAAACGAATTTGATTTGTCTCCTGTGTTTCACAAAAATTAGGCGATCAGCTAGTTTTACGTAGTTTCAGAAAAAGGCGTTTGATGGCAGGAAAGGAATAACCTAACAGGTGTTTAACATGAAAACGCCGGAGGAAGGGGGGGGGGGTCCTACTAATGGCCTAATGGGGATGAGCCGCTGGATAGGGTCCCATTTTCACGACTGGGTTGACTATAATGACCTATAACAGGGTTGCGTTTTCAACAGAGTTACTACTAGACTTTCTCAAAGTTCTTCGCTTCTCATTTCCGGTTCCGGTAACATAAAAAATCTACCACTCGCGCTTCGCGCTCGTGAAAAAATTTGAGCTCGACTTGTAGGAAAGTCTAATTAACTACCAGAACGGGTTCTTTAATTTTCGGGATCATTCGGGGAAGAAAATTTCGGTTCCGCGGCAGTGGTAGCTCAGTCGGTAGAGCGTGTTAACTGCAGAGCGAGAGGTCGCGGGTTCGATTCCTGGGGCCGGACCAATACTCAGGGTCTTAAAATAACCGAGAAATGAAGGTACTCCCTTTGCACTGCAACAGGCTAGAACTTCGCGTGGCTCGGATGACCACGTAAAATGGCGGTCCCGTCTCCAGTTAGAGACGTAAAATATAGTGTCCCCAGTTAGTACTTTCGTGCTAAATACATTGACACTCAAATAAAGTGCATCTTTTTTTTACCAGCACAATAAACCATAGGTTTTTAACCAATCAGAACGCGCATACTATCTTAGTTATTTTATAAAATTCAATATATTACAGTAAAAAACATTTGCGTTGTATGCTTGAATTCCTCGTTTAACACCGACTTCTTGACCATAGCTTTTTGCTTTTTGTTCCGGGGGAAACTATGAGAACTATTTGTCCATCTTTTCAACTCTGGTTAAATTACCTCTGCTCGCGCAGGCTACATCTTAGTCACTTGAGCAAATGTGATTTCGCAATCACAACTTAGTAACTCAAGAACGGAATGTTATGCCAGCCGATTGTCAAATATCAAACCAAAAGCTCAAAATAAGATAACAACTTTATAACTGTGAATCTTCCTAGTATTAAATCGCTACGTACTTACTAACCGAAATTTTCTTCCCCGAATGATCCCGAAAATTAAAGAACCCGTTCTGTTAGTAACTTAGACTTGCCTACAAGTCGAGCTCAAATTTTTTCACGAGCGCGAAGCGCGAGTGGTAGATTTTTTATGTTACCAGAACCGGAAATGAGAAGCGAAGAACTTTGAGAAAGTCTAGTAGTAACTCTGTTGAAAACGCAACCCTGTTATAGGTCATTATAGTCAACCCAGTTATCCCTGGGTCTTCAGTGCTGGGTTCCTTTACCGAGGGTATTCAGCCACATGTAGGGCCCCTGGCTTTAGTTCGTCGCTTATGACTCCACAAAATCTCTTGATTTTTTTTAACCTAAGACGCCTGATTTTCCCGAAAGAAACTGTTCAAGAGGAAAACCTTTTGTTTCTTTTATAAAGAGATATGTTATCTTTTACTTCATGAATAAGACTGATAAGGAATACGACGTGACTGGATCCCGACCGGAATAACGAATCAATCGATCATTTGCGTTCTAACGGAGCTAGTCCCCTTCAACTGGGTTCGGACTTTTCACATAATCAGGGGCGTAGCGAGGATTTTTCCAGAGGTGTGCACATTTTTCTGCTTTATCCTCCATCCCAGATGCTGATTGCCAGCTGCCCAATCTGGAGTTAAACCGTTGGGAGTTAATATTAAAATATTGTAACTACATGTCATAAGAATACCATGCGCTTGCATTGCTTTCGAGGCGAACTGGATCTGGTTTCGGAGCGAACATGAAGGCCGAAGAAGACGCCAATAAGCGGACGCGAAATTCGATAGTAACGAGATCTAGAGGAGCTATTGAATTAAAACCGCATAAACCCATTGTGGTTCAGAAGCAAACAAGAACAATAAGCTTCAATCGAGTGAACCATCTATTTCTCAGCTCCCTCAGTTTCTTTTTTTTTCTAAGACACCTGCGGGCAAAAAATGGATAGCGCTCGAGACGCAAGCTTTTAATTCTCATTACTGAGGTAAAATTATTTTACAACCTTTATTTCAGATTAAAACAATTTTTATTTAATTTTCCCACCGGTTTATCACTGCAGTTTCTTTAAAAGTCAATGCCTTTATAAACTCAACAGTTGCAGATTGGTATAAATTTATAGAATCAATACCTTACAACCCACTATTCCACATTCTTTATGTGGCTTATCCATTATCAACTCCTTTACATTACATATTGGGCTTATTATGT